GTACAGCTGGACCGCAAATTGTCCACTGATGTGCAAAATTTGTTCTCGCTGTCTAATTGGCTATAATCTTCCAATCAAATCATTCGTCAGTTGTGTCATCATCCGGATTATGTTGACGTTTCAAATATGTCGGAAGCATTGTCGGATTCAATTTTGAGGTCGGATTTATCATCCTATGGTATTTACCATGCTTCTCGAGCACCCTTGCTCTTTGAGCACCCATGCATTTATGCATTACCTTAGGCTTTTGCCTTACTCTATGAGTAACCATGCACTTACAGTTATGTGCCCAACACTAATTTTTGTGTGTTCATGTACTACCTTCTTCGCCTCTGTTCTCATGGTGGCTTTTATAGTGACATGCCTTTGGCATTTTTGGCCTCCGCGAATTTTCGCTAAGCCCTTTTTGCCTTTGGCATTGCCTCTCTTTGAGAACTTCGTCTCGAAGGCCGTCAGCAGTCCGTTGCCCAGTGGGGTGGCTGTCAAGAAGGGGCACTTTGGCCGTTCTTGCTTTGGCCTTTTTCGCTGAGGTTCGGTCACTTACGGATAATATCCGGTCATCCGGAATTATCCGGTGTTCTTTCTCTGCAGAAGCCGGACTGTTTATGCCCAATCATAGGTCAGCTAAACAGTCCGTTAATGATCATCTTTGGTTTTGCCCTCGACCACACAAGGGTTCTTCGTCGTCGTCCCTCCTCAGTGCTACCCCCTACATCGTCCCTCTTGACAGGTTTGGCAGTAATTTGGAAATTCGGCGGTCTGACCACGTCGGACACTATCTAATTATCATGAACACTATTTCCGATAGCTCGATATTGTGAATACAGTACCGGTAGCACAGTTTTTGCTCAAGACACGAACGACTGATTTTGGGGCCAATCGAATGGGTGGAACTTCAAGTACAGTATACTCCGGAGAGTACACTGTACTGGTAGCAATAATCTTGAGCAGTAATTCAGTATTTAAACTGAATGGCCTACTGTACAACTACAGTGCGCGTCATTAAAAAGCCTGTAAAAACATGAGGCCCAAAACTGCTCCGTACAATTCGTCAAATGACAATTATGAATCGCTCTATAGATCGATAGTTTACAGTTACAGGTGTAGTAAGCCGAAGGCGTATCGACTATACCCGTAGGAACGTATGGGCAGGGTTCCGTGACACTTGTTGGGACTCTTCGATGGAGGGTTCCTTATTCCAAATTGCTATTATTCGAAATTCGGTATTGGTGTTGATGGAAAATGAACTACTTCGTGGTAAAAGAGTGGAAATATTCGTAGGCTGAAAACACTTTCGAGTTTTATCCAGTTAATAGTACTCCACTCAAACTCAAAAAAAGTTGAGGTGATTAGTTGAAAATTTCATCGTGATTGTTTTTTACCAATCATGCATCATGGCACGCCATACCTATAATTGTTAGAAGCCAATCCTGAATTTCGCAAAATTGACTAACAGTATGGTAGTCAGAGTTGGTCATCTGCCTCGAACTGTATACAAGTCCTAACTGTAAACGTATACTAACTAGTACGTACTACGTAGTACTAATCAGCTTTACGTTACGTACCCCTTTCTGGGTTCAACGAAAGGTAGCAAGTCAAGTCTTACGCTGAACTCACAGTCAAGTGCAAAGTGCATGCCTAAGTCCTGCTGCTCCACAGTCGTCACGTGTATCCTACGTAATTCACTAGTATTTAATAGTTTAGATGTACCCGTCCACTATCACTGCAGTCTAATCCTGCATGTCTTGTGCTATAGCCACAGGTTAAAAAACGCTCCTTCCGACACTGACCGCCCGAGTTTCGGTTGCGCAGTGGCGCCATTGATGTCGAATGGCAGGGGTTCGTACTCTGGGATGCTGGACGGCGTCGCTTGATGTGAGGGGAGCTTAGTTGGAAAAGTATGCTCCAAGTGGGTGTGCCATTGAGCAGGAGGCGAGTCCACCATGTTGAAGGTGAGGCGGCCTGCGGACGTTGGGGCAGTGTACGCGGGGATGGCAATTTGTAGGGGCGGCTGGTGGGGGTGCTGATGGTACTGGAAGTGCGGCGAGCTCTGATGGAGCTGCGGCGGCAGTTGGGGGTGGGTATTCTGCTGTTGAGGGGCAAGATGTTGGTGGTGACCGTGATGATGCGGCCGGTTCTGCACAAAATCAGAGTGGCTTCGTTGAAGTGACACTGCGGGGGCTCGGAACGAGGGGGGCTTGGCGGCAGCAAGCGCCATTTTGGCGTCGTATCGCAGGACGGAGATGATGTGTTCGTCAATTGCGGCCGACGACAGCCCATCAAACGCAGACGTCGACGAAGCGCTGCTGTAGCTGCTTCTGCTGCTCGATGTACTCGGGCTAGGTGGATGTGCGGCCAGCTCATGTGCCACTGCTGGCCACGAAGACGAGTCAGGTTTTGGGGACGACGAGTCGTCGTGGAGGTCGCGGTGGGTCTTGAGGTGTCGTCCGAGGTTGCCCGAGGTACTGAATCGTTTGCTACAGCCGTCCACTTTGCACGTGAATGGTCGAATGCCCGAGTGGGTCTTGGTGTGTCGAGCCAGTTTCTCCTTGGTGCAAAACCGTTTGTAGCACAACTCGAACGAGCACCCAAACGGCTTTTCGCCCGTGTGGGTAAACTTGTGGCGGCTGAGGTTGCCCGACGTGCTAAAGCTCGCCATGCAGCCATCATAGTCGCACGCGTACGGCCGAGCGCCTGTGTGGGTCTTTGTGTGCTCCTTCAATGTGAATTTGCGATTGAACCGCTTGCCGCAGCCCGGTGCGAGGCACACAAAGCGGCGCTCTTGGCCACTCGTCATGGTCGGCGATGGCTGCGGTGACGTGATGTCCTTCGATCTATCTCCACCGTGTGCTTCGACCTGCACTAGACGTCCATCCAGCGACACCATAGAAGAGGCATGAGGAAAGGCATGCATGTCACCAACGCGAAGCAAAAGGCCAAGTGGGAATGGAGGCAAAAACAGCACCCGCAGAACCCAGGTGGCATTGGAATTAAGGGAATTAACCACCCCTTAAAGCGTTAAACTATGCGTTGAGTAGCTTCAACTTTCAACGCATATATGCGTTTTAACTCAAGTCACTGATAAAACGCTCGGAATACTTGTATAAAAACGTGTTTTTACCCGTGGACTAAAGTCGAGTTTACCAATGTCGCGGTGGTTTGCTGTTATTTCGTGGCTGCAGTTTGTTTAGCCACGTCGAGGGGGTTGCATACTAGGACATTACAGCTTGGCTGTGTTTGATATTGTAGTTCCCACCGCCGCCGAATGATAGGAATGTCGAAGGGGACTTTGTAAACTCACAGGACTGGACGCACTGTGAGTAGTCCCACGATGGCTGGCGCATGAAACCAGCTGGTTTGGCAGAGGTGTGTCCGATCAACATTCCCAAAGATTCCGTTTGGGGAAGTGGTGTTAACGTTACGGTAAGAAACCCACGACGCAGGGCATAGGAAGTCAAACGATGTGAAGTGTGAAAGCCCAACGCGCGAGGCTATGCAATAGATCGATCATGGTTGTCAAAATGAAACCCTATTATTGCGTTTCTACAGTACTCGACCTTAAATGACACGAGCCTGCGACACGTCTTCGATCATGTCGCTTTGATCGTCATGCATCCAGTGCCCACCATACTGAAACCAAGTAGTATCGGGCTACCAATGAAACAATTGTGGACCAAATAAGAAGAACCAGGTACAAATCAATTGATGTTCTTTGCGGTAAAGCCGAACCGATGGTGCCTGTTGTGCTATAATCACTCACAACACTGGACAGAGACTTTGGACGTGATTGGTCAATGCACAACGCACCATAGACAGTGGCTATCTGTCTACTCGCCACTTCGTTCCAAAAACGGTGTGGACGCTGACTGGGACGGAAAGATCAAGCGCAATATTACAGCAAACCCCTGTATTCTAAGGTGCGTTCTGTCGACATACTATACGTATACATTATTGCCCTACACCAGAACACCATTGTGTAACAACACCCGACAAGAAACGAGCGTCGAATCGGTTCTGTGATCTGCTTGGAGCACAAGTACATACTTTTGAACAACGACAATATAATGCTACCCTTCACGGGTACGATACAGTAGCCTACCTGGTCAAACTGTTTGAGTTGGTTGCAGCCTGATGACTACCGTATTACTGTGAATCTGGTAGGGGATGAAAAGTCGTCGTTTGTTCGTTGAAACGAATGCATGCTCGACACAACGATCGGACGATCAGTTTCCCTTTTTTGTCCACTTTGAAATTGAACAATTCAAGTGTGGTCGTTGAAATCCGAGTCCTACTGTACAAACATACAGTACAATGTTGCACGCGTACTATTAATAGTACAGTAGTACGCGACAACGCAAAGGCAACCAGAGTAATTCCCTGAGAGCATGTTGCCTTTGCTTACGTAATCGTTTCACTTGTTCGTATGATGTCTCAGATAAGTGCAGTGTAAGCCAACACAACAGGGGAAAGCACCTTTCAGTGGTTAATGATAGGTGATGCAACTTCGCCCCGGGAATAACAATACAAAAGGAGGTCTCGGGACTCGGAGATTACTGTACCGTACTGGTCTTGTTGAAGGGAAATGATTACGTAAGCAACAGTGAAACTGTGGGTCTCAGGGAATTCCTCGAGATCTCTCAACATCCACAGGTTCAGCACACAGCCGACTGGTAGAGTTCGGTGCAGCTGAACCCCTTCAGCTAACCTAATGCATATTGCAACGCTGTGCTAATATCACGCACAGCGCCGGGTCGTGGGTCGCCAGCAGCGTCTACAGGTACAACTTGCTTTTTATGGCGCGTGGTCATGTCCCTCAATAATTATGTTCCGCAGTGAATGTTACTTACTATAACGTTAACCTTCAGCATAATATTTAGAAACACGTCGAAATGTGTGTGTGTGTCTACAGCAACCATAATTCACCCACGTTCCAGCGAATCATTCAACAATAACTAATTATTGCTTGTTGATAATAATAATATTCAGTTGGGGCAACCAATCACTACCGACCCCACCATTCTCGGGAAAAATCGAACTCCGAATTACTTGAATCCCATGTCGCGCTTGTACGCGACCTTGTCTCGCATCGTCGGTCGGTCTGCGAGCCAATTCCCCGAGCTCGTACGTTTGTTGAATCGTTTCTTCTTGTTTGCGTCCGACGATTGAAAGATGGCTACATACACAAGCATGAACGTCCACTTCCAAAGCGATGTTGTCATGTACCTTCCAAGTCGCACGAGTCGACAAAGTCGGGGAACACTGACGGCGTCGGATCCGTCCCGTCCGGGCCAAACTGGCGGGCCAAAGCGAGCTCCAGGGCTTCACGTTGGGCCCACTTGGGAATCTTCTTCTGCTCCGCGTCCGAGTTGCCGCTGTCTTCGTCACTACACGGGTCGAATATGTTTTGATGGAATTCAAGCAAAGTACACACATATATATATATGGGGGATACCTTTCGGGACCGTCGGACATTTCATAATTCGTGTGCTCTTTCTTGGATGGCGTGCCTTGTTTCGTGTTTGGTTGCAGTCCCCCCACGGTCCCCGACGGTTGATGCGGGACCGGAGGAGGCAAAGGGTCGGTCCGATGAGTTGGCGCTGGCACGGCGGGGGGTGGAGGCAACGGCGTGTCCCGATTGAGCCCGTCCATCTCTCGAAGATGGCGCTATGTCAAATCACATCATCGCATGTTTATGATTCACACAACCACCGTTGTTGCCGTCGTCGTACCATGCCTAGCTCTTTGCCCGTGTGGTCCTTTCCCTGGAGTTTCTTTTTTTTTTCGTCCTTGGCATCCATATCTTGCAGCCGATGTTGCTTCTTCTTCGCCAACTCGTCTTCCCGCTCCTTCTTTTCACGGGCTTCTCGCTCCCGCTACATCATGCGTCACATACAAAGCACCAGTCCACATCGAAGGGTGGACCTAATACCTTGAGTCGGGCGTCTTTTGCCATCTTATCGGTACTCGTTTGGTCCTTCGTACTCGCCGCTTTTCGTCGCTTGTCTCCGTCTGCTTTGCGCTGGTCTTCGTACTTTTTCCACAACTCTTGTTGCCGCTGCTTCTTTTCAGCCTCCCGTTGCTTTTCCATGAGCCGATTCCGCTCGGCCATGCGCAGCGACGTCACTACGATCGGCCCCGCCCCGCGCGTGGTGGATTTCGCGGCTGTCGACTCCTTCTCCACCAGCGACGTGAGGGAATGCAACCCGCTGACGAGGTTCGAAGGCTTTTTCGCGACGCCACTCGACGACGCAACCCCCGACGAGCTGGATTCACTCGACGACGAGTCAGCCGACGGGAGCGACATGGTCCCGTCTTCAAGTTGGTTGGACTCATGGACGACGACGGACGTGCTCGTGTCGACCGTGGAGGATGAAGAAGCCGCGATGCCAACTGGAACGGCGGCAGCACTCAACTTGGCGGTCGCTTTGAGCGTGTCCATTTCTTGCTCAATGCGCTTCTTGGCCGATTCTTTGGCGGCCAGTCGAAGGCGTTTGGACTCGCGCTCGATGGCTTCTTGAAACTCCCGCTCCTTGGCGTCCTCCGTGGTGGCGATGGCCAAGGTCATCGGTGTCTCCAGCCTTACTTTGGGGCTTACTCGAGGTGGGGACTTTGGCAGGGTCGACGTTTTCTCCACGGAAACGTCCACCGCCGTCACCGCATTCTTCTTCCTAGCTTGATGGGGGTCGTACAACGACGACGAGGACGCCCCCCCCTGTCGCTTCGAGTGTTGAAACGTCGCTTTGGTCTGAAACACCTTTGGCGCGGGGACTTTTGGCACGGGGGTGGTGCTGCGGCCGTACATGTCGGTCGAGTTGAACGTATCGTCATCATCCCCGGACGCCGCCGCCTTGGACAGCCCGAACGCCGACTTGAACGACGCAAATCCCTTCACAATGGGCGACGTCGCAGTCGCAAACAGCGACGCGGCTGTGGACATGAGCAGGTCCGACGACTTGGGCACGGTCACGCCCTCGTTGTCGTCATCGTCGTCGTGGTTCTTTGGGTGGCGCGATGGCATGGAAAAGGCTCGGGGGGACGAGTTGAGACTGCTCGTGGTGAACAATTCGTCGTCCGGTTTCACTGGCGGGTTGGGGACGATGGGGGAGAGGTCGCCGCCAAAGAGGGGACGTGAGGGATGCGACAAGGCCGAGTGCGGGCGCAGGTGGTGGTGCGGTGACGACGCGCCTTCGTCCCGAGGTCTGCCGCTGCTTTCTCCTGCCCCGAGGGGTGGTTGGCTGTCTTGCATACGATTGAGAGCGGGGGATTCCATCAAGGGTGGCCGCGCACTGGATGGGGTCGCCGTCAAAGTAGGCAGCAGCCGGGTCTCTGAGGTCGTCGATATGGTGGGGTTGGTGGCGCTTGGTGTCCGTCCAAGAAATGGAGACACTGTCGAATCGAACAACGCCACCGCCTTGACAGACTTCGTCGGATGGGAAGGCGGCGCCGCGACGTCGTGGAGGGATACAGTTTTCGGTGGCGGGGAATCCGGGGACCTTGGACTCGTTTGGTCAAGTGGCGGAGGGGCAACCAAAGTGTCGGCAGCGTCGGCCGCTTTCGGTAGACGACTTTCTTCCAAGGCAAGTACCTTCGACGAGGAGTCGACGTGATCGGCATGCGGCAGCGGTGGTGGTGATGAAACGCCCGTGACTGCGTGGCCCAAGGGTTGCTGCCTTGGACTTGTGTCTTCAGGGACGTTATCGCTGGATCTTCCTGACGTTGGACGTGAAATCGGCGAGCTGCTAGCTTTCGGCTTGGACGAGGCCTTGGAAGGATGCTTCTTGGGGGGAGGGGGCGACACGAGGTCAATGATATTTTCCATTCTGCTGGATGAATCAGTCGGTGATTCCGGCTTGACTACTATCCTTGCGCTGCTATCGTCGTCGCCGCTGTCGTCAACATGCGAGTTCAAGTTGATGAATCGAGCCATGCGACTTTTCCGAGGGTCTTCCACGTCATTGCGAGCATTCTTGTCGGTGGAAGGCTTTGAATCCACTCTCGCTGCGGTGTCGTGGCGTCTTGCTGGCCCTGGACGCCGCAGTGGTCGGGACGGCTTGGCTCCTTCGTGCAATACAACCACTGGCTCTTCACTTGTTGCTGACGAGGCAACAGCGGCGTCTTGTTTGATGACGTCGCTTGAACGAAGGTTCTTTCTTGTAGAGTGAACGGGCCCTGTCGTGTTCGCCACGTCGGGAGAATGCACGTCCACCGTGCTCACGTCGCTGTCCCCAACAATCTCGTCATGCATCTTGTCGTCCGAAAAATCGACCGAAACATGATCACTTGGGTGTCCGTGAGCCTTTTGACGTGCCGCGCTGGCTTCCGATTTCTCGATTTCGATGGCTTCCAGCAGTCGGGCTACCAAAGTCGACTTCACACCCGTAGTCTTGAGCCCCCTATCTTTCAGCTCCTGCTTCAGCTCGGCTACTTTCAGCGCAAACGGATTCACTTCTTCCTTTTCGTCGTCGATGTGGTCGTCCTCGCGTTCTTGGAGTGATCGCTTTCTTGGTGGGTTCCGTGACGATGCCCGATGCTTTGATCGTGTGTCGTACTCAGGAGGCGGTGCTTTCACCTCATCAAGTACGACCTTCTCCTCAATGGACTTCTGGCGCTTCTCTACTGCCGGAGTAACATGGCGTGGTCGCTGTGGAATGTCGAGGTCCAGTCGTCTTTTCTTGGCATTGACCTCTGGCCGTCGAATGTCCAGCGAGATACTGCAGCATAATGCAACCAGCCACTTGCTATTCTCCTTCGCCGACTGTTCTAGCGCAGCTAAAGCCTGCCGGGAGTTCTCTGTGATGTGTTCCTGGGCCTTCTTGAAGTGATCATCGTCATGGTCCATCGTCGGCACGGCGCCTCAGCAAAATTCAAAAGCCAAATTAATTCAAATGTACTGCATCGATTTATACAGGCCTTGCAATAATTAATATATATATATTACCCTGGCCTCAGACCAATATTTGTTTTCAACAATATTGATTTTGCAAATGGGAATATTCCAATGAAATGGCCCAGTGAGACATTTCGGTGCACCCACAGGAAATTTCCGCCAACTAAATTTCCAATCAGAAATCCTGACTAGACAATCCTTGACACACGCACACCCATTCGATAAGCGGGCCAGCAACAAACAATGCCATCCCATCATCGCTTCACGACCCAACATGATGCAGATAACGCGTGTTCCAAGGAGCGGATATAGCGACTGTGAAACTTGCTGATTTGCTAAAACTCGCGGTCACTTGAATCTTTTCCAATTGAATGATTGGATCATTTCATTGGAATATTCCCATGTGCACAAGAATCACTGTTAATAATAATACTATTGCTTATCTGACATTCACAGGTCAATCGACATTTTATTTGTCGGAAAATGTATTTTCCGTGATAATGCCTGACGACGGACACTTCATCACGAACCGATTCCACAAGCATCTTGCAACCTCCTCGCGGACGAAATGCCCATGAATCATGGCAGCGAGCCTTGAACATTCTTATCCCAGGACATGCCCAATTGCGTAGCACGGGTCGATTTCTGTTCAAGGCGACATGGCTGCTTCCAAGTCGACAAAACTCGAGTAACTAGCAGGCCACTGCCTCCCTTGCGGGGCGTTGTACGCTCGTGAGGGCTGTGCATGCTAACTATGTAGTCCACATGCCCGCTTCTCGATGGATACGCATGCATACTAGTATAAGCATGCTGCCATCGCCATGAATATGTGTGAATAATGATACGGGGGGTAGGGTTAGATCCTCCTCTGGTGGCCTGGCATATTTTTGTTGATCAGGTCGAGAAACGGCTGTTGGGGGTCGAAAAAAGTGAGGCGTGCCAGCAGCATCAGCAGCAGCAGCAGCAGCGAGATCCAACGCGATAAGTTGGACGACGCGGTGGGACTGTCAAATGTACCTGCCCTCCTCCATCATCATCACGACCATCCTCTCACGTTTGTCTTGCGTAGCACGACGCTTATGATGAAAGGTCCTCGCGCGTCGTGCGAAGGATTCCTCACGTTCCGTACGAGTCCGTACTCGCCGCCGCCGATGGTCCGGCACTACTGCCTCTTGATCGGAACGTGCTTTTACTACTACAGGTATGCGTGTCGTTGGCGTGTTGTCAAGTCTCACCGCGATGGTAGCACACAAGAAGATGCCGAGCACATGATGCGCGTAAAAGGCGAAGTGGACGTCATCGGCGTCCAGGACTGGGATGGGAAGGGCAACATGCACATCTACACGCACGGGTTTCTCTTTGCCACGGCGCAGAACAAGGTGTTCTACGCGTACGCGGACTCGGCGATGGACAAGGAAAAGTGGCACCGTGCGATTCAAATGAACATTGAGACCAACGTGCCGGTACTGACGGCGACGCTCCACAGCAGTCCGTCGAGCTGCAGCAGCGACGGCGCCGTGCTGCTGTCCCCAGCGAGCTCCGTCGTGGAACTGGATATGCAGTTGAAATGTCTGCGGTGTCAGCCCTCGGCGGACGACCCAGCCGCGATCGCGGCGGCGGCGGCGCTGACCAAGTTCAAATGCTCGAGCTGCGACGCCACCTACTGCGACCGGCACTCGCAGCACAAGCTGCCGCTACCGCATCGATCGTACTACTCGGCCATGCGTATCTGCGACGACTGCTACCACGCACAATCGTTTGTTAATTACATCAAGGCCATCAAGCAGCGACTGGACTCGGGGATTTGCGTGTACCCGCGGCCGCTCAACCCCGACGCGCCCATCGAGCTCATCATGCCCATGGGGCCATCGCACACGGAAGCCACCAACATCGCCATCGACCTGTTCAAGCAAGGCGCGATCACGGCCGAGGAATTTGAGGTGCTGCTGCTAGCTGACAAGCGGTACCTCGATCACACAGTGGAGCAGCCCGAGATCCCGCTGGACATCAAGATCCTGGGGCTGCATCGGGAGTTCCGGTCGCCGACGTTCACCGTGTTTCGAGCCATCATCCTGCTCCACCAAAACCTGGAGAGCGACCCGCTCGTGTTCAAGCCGATTGTGGAGAAACTCGTGCAGTTTTCATTCACCAAGATCAACGAAGTCGAGTTCTTCTGGCCCCAGCTCGTCCATGCGTACCTGAACGTGCCCACGTTTGAGTTTGAAAAACTGTTTTGGATGGATGACCTGATCTTGTCCATCTGCGCGCGGTCGATTCACTTGGCGCTGCTCCTGATCTGGCAGCTGCGCGGCGCCGTCGAGGATGCCGCCGACCCCCAGTCCCCCATCAAGACCCAGTCCACGTACGCCCGCGTTGTGCGACTCATTGTCGAGATCGAAGTGCGCATCGTGGGGTCGGCCAGGTCCGACGTGCTCACGTCCAAGCGCATTCTGCCCACCATGACGGATGAGCAGTTCCATTTAGCTGGGCGGATACTGGACGCGATCACCGAGTACAGACACCAAGCCGAGCAACAGCACACGGCCGTGGACGACGTCAAGTTTTCCGACTATTCGTGCTTCCAGCAGCACTTGCTGGGCTCGATCGTGGCCACTTCGTCCCCTGGCATGTCGACGCCGACGCCCGTGAAAAGCGTGTCGGACTGGATCAAACGGTCCGATTCGTTTCCTCTGCCCAGTGGGGGCCACACAACCCCCCCCCTACCTACCGCCGCCCCCCCCCTCCGCCGGAAAACGTCCATCTGCGACGCTGACCTAACTGTGCTATCGACCTACTACAATGATGAGTGCGACTTTGTCCAGCAGATCACGGATATTGCCGAGAAGCTCCGGTTCGTCCCCATCACGGAGCGAAAGCCGATGCTCGCCAAGCATCTCGAGACGTTCCAGCTGCCGCGGATGGCGTACATTCCGCTGGTCAAGGCAACGGATCCGTTCGAGCAGATTGTTCGGCTGCCATACAACGAAGGCACAGCATTTAGTACCAAAGCGCGTGTGCCCATCTTGCTTGTGTTTGAAGTGATCCGCGGCGTCGGTTCGAGTTTGAACCTTCTGTCCCCGACTACTACTACTAGTAATACGACTACTACTACTAGTGGTAGTACAAAACCGTTGGCGGGGGGCGCGGCGGCGGCGGCTCCCAGTAGTAGTAGTACAGGTGCCGTGAACCCCCCCGTGGTGTACGACGACGACGACGACGAAGTGCGTCACATGATCAACCGGGAAAGCTTGGACAAGAACGAGACGTTGGCGGACGCGACCCCGTCGACCCCGTCGATTGTGGACACGGACCTGCTGATGGGGTCCGACGAGGAAGACAGTATCGACACCCACGACGGATGCGAAGCTGAAAGCGTCGGGTTTGACCAAGCGATGGAGTTATCACATATGAGCATGTCGGAGGAAGTGATGGAGCGCGAGAAGACCCGCAAGCGCGACTTGGAGGCGGCGTTTGGCGAGTCGTGGGCGTCTAAGCGGGAGCGCATGAAGGGGCTAAGTCCGAACGGGCACGTTCCTGGCTGGGATATTGTGTCGATGATTGGCAAAAGCAACGACGACATGCGACAGGAAGTGTTTACGCTGCAGCTGATTCAAAAGTTTATGGACATCTTCAAGGCAGCGAACTTGCCCATTTGGCTCAAGGTGTACCGTATCATCGCCACGAGCTCGTCCACGGGTATCATCGAGACGCTTGTGAACGCGATATCGCTCGACGGCCTTAAAAAACGAGACGGGTACGTGTCATTGCTGCACCACTTTGAAAAGTCGTACGGCCCGCCCGACTCGCCGCGGTTCATCGAAGCGCAGACGCAGTACATTCAGTCCATGGCCGGGTACTCGCTCGTGTCGTACTTTTTGCAAATCAAGGATCGACACAACGGCAACATCATGCTCGACAACGAAGGCCATATCATCCACATTGACTATGGGTTCCTCCTTGGCATTGCACCCGGCGGAAGCTTTAGCATCGAAACCGCGCCGTTCAAGTTGACCACGGAAATGGTTGAATGCATGGGCGGCCCCGACTCGGACGGGTTCAAGGAATATGTGACACTGTGCACGAGGGGCTTTTTGGCGCTGCAGCAAAACTGCGACGACTTGTGCGACCTAGTGGAAGTCATGGCGCACCAGTCGCCGTTCCCGTGCTTCTTTCAAAAGGACACGGCCGCCATCTTGTCGAGGTTCCGAGGCCGGTTCAAAGTGTCCCTGTCCAAGCACGAGGTGGTGTCGCATATGCTGTACCTGATCCGAAAAAGCCATGGCAACTATAGCACCAACCAGTACGACAACTTTCAGAGAATCACCAACGGCATCCGCCCGTAGTAGCAGCATGTAGCAGCGTTGTGGCTGTTCTTCGAGTAATATATACAGACAGCAACCCCCCCGAAACGAAACACTCGATATATGCTGCACATATGATAGAACGTTACTATTCTAACGTTAGATTTCCCATCGCGTTAGACGTGGAGTTACTGGGACTGCCAACTGGAAAATACTGTAGTTATTGCCTCGTCGATTCGAAATTGGAGGGGGGTGCTCGCTCATGTCAATGACCAGAATAACCAAATCGGTAGACAATCGATCAACCAATCAAAGCCCAGATATAAAAACAAGTAGCCAACCAAATCCACTCTTCGACGAATTGAATATCGAATTAGTGTGTGGCTCTAAATTAATGTGAAGGTGGACGATTTTTACATACAAAAGTCAGTACAATGAATCGATCGATAGATTTGGTGTATCAGCACAAAAGTCCAATTTTAGGTAAAAGGGCAATACCAGTACAAAGTGGAATAAATCGCAACTGTGTTGCGTCGTATTTGATCCGAACCAAGGCCCAACATATGAACGAGCACAATTTACTTTTGAAGTCTACAATCATTGCGACAACTGTAGTTCCTCCCCCCTGGGATCTTGCCGGTGCTGGAGTCGTTTGTCCGGGTAGTTTAGTCGTTTATGCTAATGTTATGTGGTTGACTTCATATGCATCCACGGCGCATCTTTTCGATCGGGATTTTACTAGTTGCAGTTCGACTCAACTGTACGGACGCTTCGTCATTGGACTGATTGTTTTGACTTTCAAGGAACGTCCATGATATGATCATCTTCGCACACACTTTTGTGTTGGAACCAAACAGAAGTGTCATTTGTCGACTTGTTGCAATGCAAAGCTAGACACAGTCGTAGGAGCAGACCTCCCCTCGACCCCCCCGCTGCTTTCGACGTGCCATCGAATAAGGCGATGAGGTGCATGCCCGACTCGCAGGTCAGCCCCGCTTTGCCAATTCCAAGGATGGATAGGAAATCGGCGTGGACATATCTGATGAAGTTCTCCGCGTGCGCCCAAGGGAGGTAGACGGCGACAGTGGTCCTATGATACGTAATGCTTCGAAATATCAATCATGCTTTTTCTATGCAAACTGACATCGGAAAATAATGTGATGGATCGTGGCTTCGCCCGAGATGAACCCGCTGCCACACGCATAGCACCAGTGCTGGCCGCAGATGCACGTGATGTGGTCGCATTCGACGGTCTTCTCGGTTTGAACGGTGCAGGTGGGGCAGACGGGGAACTTGACATTCAGTGCAAAGCAGTCGCCGCATTCAAATCTGGCCACGCGGGGGGCGTCTTGCGCACAACTTTTGGCCATCATTTCCTTCACTTTTTCACACGTGCCGCACCACCCGTAGTACGTTTGAGGCTGCATGGGGGGCAGCAGACCTTTGCTTAGCAGTTGCCCCACGGGCTTGTTGTAGCGCTGCCATACGTTGGCCGTGGGCCATTGGCGACAGAACGGACACGTTAAATGAGTTGTGAGCACCACCCGCCCCCGTTTGGTTTGTCCATTCCAGTGGTCCGCGCAGCTGCGGCATACTCGAGTGGGGCATCGCCCGCAGGCAGTCTCGAGCTGGGGAAGCGAGTACTCTTCAAAGCAAAGGTTGCACACATCCGTGAGCGATCCCTCGAGGGTGTCAGCCACCATCTTGTCGCACAACACATCGACAGCATGAACACGTTTCCCCCCAACGCGGAGTTCGAGAGGTAGGTGCTGCATGGCTTGGCGTTCATGGGCTTGGGGTCCCACTTTCGTGCCAAAGAGGAGGGAGTGGTGCTGCGTGTACATTTTGAAGTAATTGGCGTGGGGGAGATTGAACACAACGTCGACAAAGTCGTGGCTTCGCTTGGTTTTCGTCCACCCAAACACACGAGCGACCGCGATGTTGGTTGTCACTAGTGTTTGAAACGGCACCTCTGTGGCGATGGTCGCTGCACGGGGGGCCACCGCGACGCACGTCCACCAACCCTCCCTGCCTTCCGTCGTCGAGATGGAAGTGCGCTGGAGCAGTTGCGCCGGATCGAGGTACTGGTTGAGGCACTGCACACACTCGACGGTGGGGGCGACGGGGCGGGGCTTGACCCATAGTCGACAGTAGAAGCACTTGGGGGCGATGTTGAGCAGATGCGGCTGTACCACCGCGTACAGGCATTGGCATGCACTGCACTCGACAACGTAGGACTGAGTCGGAGGCGTGACATGCTTACGTTCGATAGACCGGGCTTCTGCTGCGCCGTACTCGACGCAGATGGCGCACGTGTCGTGGGTCACCATGAGACTCACGCTCGTGTCGTAGTTGCAGCTACGGCACTTGGCTTTCACGTCTGGACGTAGTTTCGCCTTGTTGGGGATCTCGCCCACAATCACGGGTATGGCCTTCGTCGACGCTAGCCGCATGCGATGCATCGTGTACAACCTGTCGTACACGGTGCGTTCATTTGCAGTCATAACGTGTCGGTTACGATGCAACAGCTTGATATATTCCAGCGCCAGAATCTCAGCAAAGTCCGTGGCGAGTTCCAGGGGCAGCCACGTGCCGCGAATGCGCTCGAGGAAGGACGTCGCTCGATCGCTCAAGATGGAATGGTTGGACGACACGCAAAGCATGGCCACGACCGCACTTCCGCGAAGGGAAAACGACGTGCCAGGCACGACCAAGTGGCACAGGAACGAAAACAGCTGCGTGTCGGGGAGGTCCAGCGGAAGGTACTGTGGCACGCCGTCGACCTCGCCTTCAACGGGGACATCGTCCAGAAACTGCAAATGCGTGAGGATGCATTGAACGGTCCGAATCGCTCCGGGGCTTGGCGCCCGGGCCAACTAGAGCAAGTCAGAGGCGTCAATCGCGTCGACAAGCCCACTGCGTTCCAACACCACACACGGGCGACCCGTAGTAGAGGTGTTTGATACGACGAGAATCGCGTCGCGAATCTCGTGGCTGTGGTTGTGCGAGGCTTCGATCCAGTGCTGGATCTGAGCCTTGTCCAGGCCAGTCAACGCAGACACACACGTCGACAGCTTGATGCTCAACAAGAGATATCGAGGATCCAACCGCCGCCTGCAAATCACGCGTCACAGTTTGGCCAAGATAGGGTTGTAAGTTAAAGCTAGTACGTTGGTCGGCGTGAAGAACGCCCCAAAGATCGTGTACACCATGTTCTGGTACGTGTCGTTGGACTCGAACAGCACCGGGAGTTGGCTCAAATCTTCGAGCATACACGGCAACGGGGTAAACTGAAACAGGTGCTTTGAGAAGGCTAGACGGGTGTCCATGCTGGGAACGACGTCGTTCTCGGTGCCCACGTCAAACTTGGCGTCGTCCACTGTGACGCAGGTAAACTGGCTGGCAAACTCGAACTTGTGCCCCATCAACTGCAGCAGCAGCCTCATCGTGGCCTTGGTGATTTCGGTCGTGGATTCGTTTTCCACGAGCACGACCGGCCCCATCGCCGAGTAAAACAGCACTGACTGTGCCATGTCGTGAACTTCGGGTAGATTCGAGTGGAACGTGTGGACGTGGATGTTGGCCGCTTGGAAGGCGCGGCGGATGGCGAGCCAGTCGTAGCCAGCCGTGTACTGTGGGTTGGCTTCGATGGCATCCATTTCTTGTCGCCAATAGCGAGATAATGTGTGGATGTGGTGCGGGGGCGCGTCTGTGAAGAGAAGGACCAATGCGTCGGTTGGCATGACAGACGCTTGCCGAATGTGGTGGACTGTAGAGTGCACAAAGTTGAGCGCTGTCTTGATGGCCTCGGGGATGTCGCCCCCGCCGTGGGGCACCAAGGCCGCGAAAAAGTCGAGAATTTGCTTGTTTGAGTGTGTTCGTTGACTGCAATGCGTGACCACGAGTTTGCCGTCGCAATGGTCCTTGTACGACACCACATGCAATTTCACACAACCTCGAAAGAGCAGCTTGATGACTGCAAAGACTTGGCGAATCGTGGCCGCCAAGGACGAAATGTACCGACCCATACCGGTAGAGGCAGTGGTGTCGCATACAAGAAACAGATCCACTTCAGTACCATCGCCCCCATTTGCCGTTTGTGTCATGGAGTATACGTATATATGACTGTCGCTTTCTGTACCAGAGTGTATTGTGAATTGTCGAGTGATGGTTATTCCTCTGAGTGATGGACGTTTTGACGTTCCGACGACAAAGCGTCGATTCGTGGTTGGGTTCACCCCCAAACTACGCGAATCCCCCAAACTGTGCACCCACAGGTGATGCTGAAGTGTCAATAGCACGTACCCTTCGTAAACAGGAGTGTCATGCTTCCGTCAAATCACTGTGACTGCGAACGTTAAACGATCATGACTTTACAAGAGCAAGGTAAGGTGGATCCTCGATTCGTGCACCCTGGTATAAACGAATAACCCATGAAATATAATATATTAATTTCATGGGTTATTCGTTTATACTATTAATAGTAGTACTGGTAACGTAGATGGCCAGTTTATGGTGCACTTGAAAGAGACTTCGTCGTAGAATGCAGCTTACTCGTCTCTCAGGGCGGGGATTTCAATTCTGAAAACTGCTCCATGAAGCCGAAAGGTCGGGCATTCTTCTGATTATTTAGAGGCTCTTCCAAGTAACTTTCGAAAACGAACGGAGCCAATCAGAAGCGTGTCCGTCGTAAGTTTGAAATTACTTTTCAAAGAGTCATGTTTTGGTCGTGTTTTGGGTATTGTGCATCCCAAGTAGGTCAAAATGATCGGATTACGTTTTACTTGATCTACCGATAGGTATTGGATACCATATATAGTATTCTACTCGCACCTGGGGCTGCAAGTCCATGCCGATAATGGTCAGAGCCGCCATTAGTGGGCGTGTTCTCGTCAACTGCACCACCAGGAACAGTGAAATCAATCCCACTTCCGCAGGATACCTTTGGGGTCATGCCACCGGCGATACCTATGGTTACTGTACAGTGAGCCGTGACATGTCTTGCTCGCGCGGCTGTTGTTACCGTATAATCTATGTCCTTTTAGGTGGTTAAGTCCTTTTAGGTTCCTGTATAAATTTATACATTTGGACGATCAAATAAAATAAACTTAAACTTTGTAAGGCATTCTTGAAGTTTTATATTTTGAACCCGAAACGTCGTTCGTTTGTGAAATATCACCTACCTATGGTGCACTTCATCTAAAAACTTCCAACTGGCCAAATTGAAGAGTGGAGGTTTTATTATTTAACGTGCAATTATTGTAGTTAAACCCAAAATCCAGATACGTTAAATACCGATTTCATGCGTTTTATCACTGGAGTGGGAGGTTAAAGGTCCCAACTGCCTCCGGATATTAAATACGGATAAGAGTCACATACAAAAATCAAGATACATTTGAGCGGCCACCCCTATCGCC